TGCCGCCATAAAGACAAAGACAATGTGAACAAAAAGATATCGCTCCTGTTAGATTTTAAAAAAATTAGGATTAAAAATGTTCAACGTATTGCGAGCTGAGAAGCCAAGTCAGTGTGACTCATTTTCCAATAACAACTAAAATGTAAAATTTGTAGCAGAGAAATTTATAATGGAAATAATTTTGTATTATAATTAAAAAAAATAGAAGTTTTTATTTATATATTTTACTAAAAATCATTCAAGTCTATAAAAGTACATCGTTGTAAATAAACATAAAATTTTTGTGGAAAATTATAAATTGAGAAATTTGATCATTTTGATAGTTTCAGTCTTAAAAATGTTTTGTGTCATACGAATATATTTTCATTGTTAAATTCTTTAATAAGTGAAATAGTTTAGTTACAATACTTGAATGATTATATTGTGTTATAATATTATAATGAATATTATTATATATAAATTATATATAAATATTATATTTTATTATATAAAAACTAGATTATATTATAGTAACTACAATGGGTGTAAAAAGTATTCGTACTAATTACGACTAAAATGCTGAATAATAACATTTATTAAACAATATTTTTGAAACAAAACATGGTACATCTATTCTCCAAAGTCTGTAGAACAAAAACATCAAATAAACAAAAAAAAAAAAAAAAATTCATATAAATTTTATAGTTTATATAAATATCAAGATTGACAATTTTGTTGTCAAAATTTGCATAATGCAAACTGTTTTAAAAACCTTCATATGTAAGTTAATTTATAATTTAATTTATAAGCAATCTCCATATATAAGTTAATTTATATTTGTAGAAAAAAATGAGAATATCAAATCGTTGATACAGAAAATATGTTTCCATTTAAGAAAATGAAAATTCACCTTGAACTCTCCGAAATTCGTTCATCTACAAAAGAATTACCATAGCCTGAATTGAATACTTATTTAACTTTCGTTGAGAAAATTTTTTCACATCTGCAAAAATAAGGGAGTTACTTGTTAAATGGTGTATCCTGTATATACATTGTTCCATTCAAATATCTATATAATTCTTTAGTTTTCAAACCTTGAGCTGTTTATTTCACGAACGTGAATTTATCAAAGTTTTCTATCAAACGCGCGAAATATTGGCTTGCAATTGCTAAATTATTAGAAAATCAATATCTCGCAACATCGGATAAATATGGATTTTCTCAATGAATATTGATCTGATAAATTACAATACCACGTCAACAGTACCAATGAATATCGATGATTTAAATGTACATGCCATTTGAATAATGAAAACGTACAAAGCTATTTGCACTCGAAAATATGAAGTTTGCGACGCAAGAGCTCTTAAAATTTCTACCATTCTTCGGCAATTACTATACACGTTGCAATATATGCAAAAGTTTAACATTGCAACATGTGTTGAGAAAAAGACTTTCATTCGTTTGAAAGTTGGAAATGATTTTATTTAGAAATTTATTTAAAAATTTTTTTAAAAATACTAATGTTTATAAACTTTGGTTAAGTATAAAATTTGAAAAAATAAACAATAGTAAACGTAAATAATTATAAATATATATAATAATTATAAATAAATATAATTAAAATTCAGTAAATGGCGGAAATTTAATTAATTTAATTTAATTAATTTATTTAATTTATTCCAATTGTTTTGTAAAAACTCCATTAGGGGTTTCTGCAAAATTGGAGCATGTTTTTGGACTTGTCTAACTCAAGATCGGGCATTTGAAACTAAAATTTTTAAAATTACTAAAATTACTAAAATTACTAAAATTACTAAAATCACTAAAATTACTAAAATTATTAAAATTGCTAAAATTGCTAAAATTACTAAAATTACTAAAATTACAAAAATTACTAAAATTATTGAAATTGCTAAAATTACTAAAATTGCTAAAGTCACTAAAATCACTAAAATTACTAAAAATCGCTAAAACCACTAAAATTACTAAACTACTAAAATTACTAAATTACTAAAATTATTAAATTGCTAAGTTTTACATTGATTTTAAATCTGGCATTTAATTTTTTTAATTTTACATTTCTTTGTCTTCCTTTTCTTTCAAATATACTCTACGCCGACTTGGAAAAATATTTGAAATCATCTTGTTGCATAATAAATTTAACAGCATAAACACACTTGCACGCATTATTAGTTTAACTGGCAGCGTGTGCTGCGAATAAAATTTTCAAATGAACGAGGATATAAATTGAAAACTGTAAACTTTTGGAAACATTTACTTACGTGAATATACATATGTCAAATGTACAGGGTGTTCCGTAAATCGTAGACATCCCATTTTCTGCATGCAAAGACAATAACACGAGAAGGAGAAATAAAATGTTTTCACTTTTCAATTGACAACGTGGAGACACTTTTCTTCTCGAAAATACTGACATTGAAAAATTCCTTTCATGACTGAATCTACAATACGTTGGAAGATTGAAATCTCCTCTTTACAACGGACCTTCAAAATTTGTTGTACAATCAACGTTGAATATAAAAGAACGAAAATGTTACGATTTCATAGATTTTTGTAATACTCGATGTTCAATGAAGTGGCCATAAAAAAATCGTACATTAGGTTTTAGAGAGTCATTGTAAATAAAAGACTGTAATCTTCAAATTCATTGTAGAGTCAGCAGTCAAAAAATAAATTTTGACGATTTCAGTATTTTCGAGAAGAAATGTATGTTTACTTTTACCCACTCGCTACGTGACGTAGAAACATTTTAAAGTGAAATGGATGACGCACATTGAAAGTAGAGGCTTCAAGCTGTAAAATGAGCCCAGGTTTATTATTGTACGACTTTCCTTCAATTTTTTCTAACAAAATTACAACAGATTAAATATTTACTGTTTGAATATCGATTGAATTCATTGTATATCTAAATATATCTAAATTTTCGAGAAATGATGTATAGAGTGGTGAAAGATTTACAGAAATCTAACTTATTTTCTATTACATACACGATGTATGTATGTGGAAATTAACTTTCAGTTATTCAATAGATCTTTGATCTTCTTGTTCTAAAACTCGTTCTAAAAATAGAACGATATTTTTCTTAATATTTATGTTTCTCGTTTCTCTTTCGAATTTGAAAAATATTATTTTCGAATTTTGAGGTCAATTCCATTGCAATTTTTTATCATTCTCTTTGATCCAATGAAACTGCATTGCATGGAGTTTAAATGTCTTCGTGGTAATTTTGTTTCGTTGCGATGAAAGAATGGTCGAAGAAAGTGTAGAAATAATTTACTTAAAACTGCGTTGATTCGCATCAATTTTGTTATTTTTCGTGCAAAAATGGTACATACTACAGAAGGAACACTTTTAAACACAATTTTAATCTAGTCTAATTATATTGAATTTAAAAGCTTAGATTGTCTCATTCTATTTTCTGAAATGGAGATGTATGTAAGTGCATTTTGTTGCAAATTGCTTTTTCTCAAATGTTGTAGAGAAAGTGTCAACAACGAACAAAATTGTCAAAAGAGAAAATAAAAATTGAATAAAATAAAATAAAATAAAATAAAATAAAATAAATAAAATAAAAATAAAATTAATTATTTTATTCTGATTAAATCAAAACATTTATTTAGTTTTGACGCGCAATTGTTGTTAACTTTCTTAGCACAAAAATATGATAAATCGTTTCATTTCTTAAGCGTCTAAATTCATCATCCCGTGAAACTCGTGGCAATATTACACAAATTAACTTCAACAGATTGCAACTATTTCAAAAGTTCAAGGAAATTTAAGAGCAATTTATAAAGTTCACCAGGTATTTGTACCACTCGGGTAATTAATTCGCTTATATAATGCAGTTCAGTTCCCTAATTGCTTCTTTTTTTTCCCCCCCTCTCTTAATTAAGCACGTTATTTCTATTTAAGCAGCCGTTTTCCATCTTGGCCCAACAATTACAAAGCGTTCCGGTACCTATTAAAATTCTTCCGCATTAACGTTCCATTAAAAGCTCGCGCCAAGTTCATTCAAATTCAAAGAGAATTGCATTCGTTGTTTATTCATGAGGAACAGACGAATTGTTTTGAGCCCGCGTTATAAACATACCTCATAAAATTTAAATGATCTGCCGTTCCGCGAGGGAAATTACATTACAATTAAGTTGTTCTCTATCGTTAAACGATTGTTGTACAAAGAAACAGAAAAAAAAAAACTATGAATTTATTGAAATTAACGAGTTGAATTAAAAGTATAACAGAAGCGTTGTTTAATTATTGTTTCACAAATATACTAATTATTCCTCATGTGTAAATAAACAGAAACTGATTTATCGAACCAAGTAAAAAGTCCAACCTTTTAATTCGGGACTAAGATTTTTTTATTATTTTATCATTTATAATATATTGTTATAAATTTGTTATGTAATAAAAATAAAAGAAAATTAAATATGTTATATATAATATAAAATATGTTATATATATATAAAATATTATATTTATATTATGTATAATCTTTATCTTGAAATTTTAATTTTTAATTACGAACCTACGTACATATATTCTTAGAAAGATTATTTATTTTTGTTCAATTTGAAATTGAAAAGCGCAGAACATTCAGTCGGAAGTATTCGTTTTTTTATTTATTTAAAGATTGAATATACCTCAAAATATAATATATAGTATATAAATAATATAACAATAGTATATTAAATTAAGCTTTCTCCAAATGTTACATAAACTTTATTTCGAAATTTTAACAATCACAAATCTTTTTCTACGTACATCCTCGAAACGAACTTCGTCTTGAAATTTTAATAATTATGAGACCTTCTACGCGCGTTTTCAGAAAAATTTCGCGCACTTGTAAATTTGAAATTTGAAACGTACAAAATGTTCAGCCGGGACTTCAATTCTTCTTCTTCGTTTGAAAGTTGGGAATTGAAACATTTCTCAAATAACCAGAAATTCTCGCAACTCCAGATGAAACGATTAACTATAACAATTCCACGTTGCAGGTAGTACCCCAGACTTGTTACCAGCTCTTCTTTTAATTCACGGTGATTCCTATTCGTGGGGCGCTGGAAATTCCTTCGACGGCACTGCATTGGCTGCTTATGGTCGTCTCATCGTCGTTTCTATTAATTTTCGCCTTGGTGTACTCGGTAAGTTTCTCTTCACCTTCTTCATTCTCACCCTTTAACAACGACGACTTAAATTTTCCGATAATTTTCCATTCTTTCTGATTATTTAAATTACATTAGTTGAAAAATAATAATTTAAATCATAATAGTTAACTAAATTACATTAGATGATAATTAGGTAGGTTTGACACACGTGAAAATTTCTATTTGATCGACTGATTAATGCTTACGATTAATCGAATTAATCGGAAATTAATCGAAATGTCTTCTAGACAAATCTTTTGTGCTCGTCACAAGATATCTCCCTTTGGAAACAGAACAAATTTTACTTGAAACAATTTTTTGAAATACTGGATAATTGCGCAGATGAATTGGAAAATGGGGCACCAAGTAATCGAGAAATGGAAATACAAAAACCATGAGCTGTTAATCAATTTATTTATTAATGTACTGTACGTAATAATGTTTCAGATATATTATACTTTCGAATCTGTGCAAAATTCCTCGCAAAAGTAATATCTTTTTCAGCAAAATGGCCACGTTCTCATTAAATCGCATAAATCCATTACGTGATTTACTTAAAAAGATTGAAAATATGCCAGCATCTTTTAGAATCGAAGCATGTCCATAAAGTCTCTTTACAATTTCAAAAATTTATTACAAAAGCAAATGAAAAGACAGGTAAGTGGAAATTAGTATAAAATAAGACACATATATTTAAGTCTCTTTCTGCCTCATTTAGTACACTTCTACGTGCTTCGGGCACTATTAAGTTGCACGAAGCACGTCAAGACGGTACACGATTTCTTACACGATCGATGTTTTCCTCAAATGTTATTAGTCGTCTACTCCTCCCTTTATCGAACACTATACCTGTTTCCATAAATATCTCGTGTCATGCGCGAATTGATGGACGTGACGGTGGATCTCTTGCATACTTGGTTCTGAAGTTTCGCCGAGTCTGCAGATCCGATTTGGTTTCAATAAACCATGACACGCACTGTGCCTTCTCTTGAGGAGTAGCCATTTTGTAAGGGGCCATTTAACAGTATCTTATTCATCAACAGGATGAACCTGAAATGCAATGTGATAAAAACTTTGATAACCAGCGAGTACATGGAACAAATCTGACAAAGATGTCTCATCAATTTCCTTTGTAATAAATTTTTGAAATTGTAAAGAGACTTTATGGACACACTGACTTTATGTATATTATTGGCATAATTCGCCAGGAGTGAACAGTTAACGACGAGGATTTTAATGGCACATCCCTCCTAATTTAGTGTACTGAAATGTAGTATATTGCATCTACGTCACGCACAAAATGCAGAAAATATTACACAATTCGTTGTGACAATATTTGCCAATTTGATATTGGTGTTCGTTTGAAAATCATTTGAAAAAATGGCACTCGCCGCCTTTTTGAATTTCACTCTTCATCAACGTAACAATTGTTAGTTCCCAAAGTTCTTGTCGAAGCAAATTTTTTCCTCTTAGATTCTCTTAACGCGATTATAGTGCCAGAACGATTCTAATTTTGTTCAATTGGCAGAGTGACATAAAATCTTCATTACGAATGCAACGATGCGGGTGAAAATAAATTACCTTTGGTATAACTTCGTTTACTGGAATGAAATTCTAGTTAATTCCCTGTTAAATGAAGTTCTGCCGAATCGTATTCATTTCTTCGTACGCGAATTTCTGTTATTTGAACGAAAAATCGTAGCCGGAGAGAATCAATGCATCGGTGGTTAAGCGAACTCGGTTCGCCGAAAAAAATGGAGTTCTATTCCATGGAAAAGTTTGAAAAGTCCGCGAGGAGAATTGAAAATACGTTCAGAGACAATTACTTTTATAGAATTGGCGTTTCAATGAGTACAATGTGCCGCGTTGCTTTCGATAAACTTTTGTCACTTTTGTAGGGGACTTGCTCGAAAAATATCTTTCTCCCTTTTTCGGAGTTTTTACTAAATCGATGAATTATTGATTTTGCATTGCAGCAATTGGAGGAAGAAACGAACATTTCAATAAATTCTAAATCTCTTTCCCGAATTATTGTGAGAATCGTGTTTGGAATATCGTTGCCAATGTCGAAGGAAACGAATTTAAAATTTAAAATTCAATCGAAATGAATTAGTTATTTGTATACAGAAATTTTTTTGCTTTTGACAATAAACAGCAAATCTTTTCTGCAGAATTTCTACTTTCTCGAAATCTCACGACCGAAATAGCCATTGAAAGTGTTTTGGAATATATGAATGAAAACAAATTGCGAAAAATTACTAAAAATAATTAGACTTTGTTAAAGTACGAATTTACGTAGCTAATGTAATTACAAATTTAAATTGAAACTGCAGTATTTATTTCATATTTGTTTTTCCAGAAAAGTTTCTTATAATCTTTGACAATGTTTAAAATACAACATTGTATGAAAATATGTATAATACTCTTTGTCAAGGGGGAACTGGTCCAACTTTTAATAAATATTAAACTTTTCTTAATAGTTATGATAATAGGAATGATTTTTAATCATTAAGCCATTCTTTGCTCTTCTTAAAATTAATATATATTTTCTAGTCATTTCATTTTTCGTTAACACTATAACAGATCTTTATTAACGTGTTTATCAAAGTGTTCTACATCCAAATGATGATAATTTAAATAAATAGATTATTTATACGATTACGTTTCTGCCTGAACAAATATCAATACTGATTTTGATAAGAAATTATATTTTATTATAACATTATAACGTTAATAATGTATCAATATATATGTGTGTGTATATATATAATAAAATATTATATTATTACATTTTTATAATATAAATATAATATTAACTTATAATATAATTATAATATTAATACAATATAATATAAATATTATATTATTATAATATATTTTAATATAATAATATTCAATAATATATACAGGTGTAAAGATTGCACTTAATTGTAGAAAATAATCTTTCCACACTGACCTATGTTGACGGGATTTAACTAAAATTATACAAATCGATTTATATAGTTTACTCTCTTCTTTCCCTTCTCAATAATGAATAACAATATTCTGCGCTCGAGTTTCTCGACAATACTCATTAAATTTGTCATCACTCGTTCGACATTGTAACGTATTGCTCCATATTCGCTTTGCTTTTGTATTTTACAATAACGATTCAAAATCATTCTCCTGTCGGCTAGATTACAGCGTCTGTAAGTAGAACGAGTCCACAGTCAGACGCTAGCAAGTGAGACGACTTCATAGTCAGACACCTGCAAGTAGAATGAGTCTGTACGTGATCCGACATCCGCAAGTAGAATGAGCCGTAATATGAAATATGTTTTGTTTCACGATACCTCGTGATGTCACGACCGTTATCACGTTGAGGACTTGTGTTTGTATTGTCAAACGGCGCAGTATTTTCGTAAACGTAATTGACATTTTCGTAAGGAAATAAAAGACGATTCGCTCGAAGGAAACCTCACTGGAGCAAAGAAGAAAATACCTAAGCCTAAAATATGTAGTAAAAATATCCTCTACTCCAGATAACCTCACCTACAATAATATATTTACAAATAGATATATGCAACTACAAAAAAACCAAAGTTACCAATTCCATTCTATGCAAGAATTGCCAAGTATACCACTCTTGCTGAAACTACATCGACACCATCCATTCCACGAAAACACCAACCATTTCAAGAAAACAGCTCTCTGGATTTTAAAAATCCCTGAAACTAACGTTGACCTTGTAAAATATCCCAAAGATCAAATAAGTAGCGTAGAACATAGAAATAACTTTTTACCAACTATGCAGTAAATATCCAAACCATCAAAAAGTATTCACCATCCAAAATTGACCAGGGAGTTGGATTTGCCATCATTTGTGGAAACATGCGTCAAAAATTTCATCTTCCAAAAGCTGCATCTATCTTCACAGCAGATGCTTGTGCAATTCTTTTCACCATACACAAAACAACAATACTCAGTCGTCCATCATTTTTACAGACTCCATGAACGTAATCAGAGCAACAGAAAACATAAATGGTAAAACAAAACATGAAGCCATTCTAAACATATTCAACATATTTTTTACGTACCTCATCAACAATAACAAAGACATAATCATCGCCTGGGTTTCATCTCACCAGGGAATCAAAGGTAACGAGGAAGCTGACATAGCAGCCAAAGAAGCAACATCGCCATCGTCGGATGTCATCCGAAGACGAATTCCTTATCAAGACCTTGTTGTAACGTTACACCATGCCGAAAAACAATCGTGGAACAAAATATGGAACACCTCCAGAAAAACAAAAGCTCATAATATAACCCAAGATTTCTATCAAACAATGCCTACCAATAACATGAAAAGAAAAGACAGAATAGTCGTGACAAGGCTTGGAACAGGACACTGCAAACTCACACATGAGTGTCTATTTAAAAAAAACAGAACCCCCAATGTGTATCCAATGCAACCGAATTTTATCAGCCAATCATCTTCTATTTGAATGCACCACGCTCAATGGCAAAAATACAAAATAACTTCACCAGCAGCCCTGACGTCGCAGAAACACATAGGAAATGTCCTGAATTATCTAAAGGAAACTAACGTCTACCATAAGATGTAATTGTCTTGAAAAGAGGGAAACCAGCCGTCGCTAATGACTAGCAGATGCGACGTTAATCACAAATTAAAAAAAAAAAAGACGATTCGATAAAATTACAAATTACAAATTACAAAAAAAAAAAAAAAAGAAACAAAAATACCGACATCAGCAGAAATTTTTGGTCCTTCGTAACAATTATTTGGAAATCGATGTCACAACTGTTTTCAGGTCCTGGTTACAAACTAGACAACGTTGGTACTTTTTTACATACTTTGATAGTTCAAATTACTAATACATTTTCTTTAACCAGTTGACTACTGATGGCGCCCAAAGGCGCTTAAAAAAATTTTTTTCGTGATACTGTAGGCGCCCATAGGCGCTTAGTAAATCTGCGCCTGTGATACTGCAGGCGCC